TAATAATAACATAGGCATGTCAGGTATAAAATGCTGTGAGTTTGAAATACTTACACCTGCAGAACACTCACTCCCTGCTTTGAAAGGGCAAAATGACTTCACTTTGGCAAAGTAATGCACACTAGGATTGCTTTGTCATTAGCAGAGCTTTGCTAGGAAATCTCATCTCAGGGCAAGGCATTTTCCTCCCCTGAGATGATGTGACCGTTAAATGTGCCAGAAATCCAGTAGTAGGAGAGCTAGTAAATCTGCCCTTAGTAAACATGGCCACTGTCAGAAGACTGGGGAAGAAAAGAGAAATAAGGTATGCACAGAATACGAAGCCTGCAATTATCTGTGTGATTACTAAACATTTCTAAAGGTATGTGTGTGTTATTTTAAAGATATATGTAAAGGTCCGCTTTAATCGTATGGACCTCATTTAAAGTAAAAAAAAAAAAATTATTTGGCAAGGCCAAATGTGTGTGTGTGGGGCCTTAGTAGCAACTGTTGCGAGAACTTGCTTTGTGATTAGTACTGTGCATATTACAGTAGCTCTTGACCATTGTTTGCATCATGCATCGCAGATGTGAGTACACCTCTAATATTAAGAAAAATATTTGCTTTACACTTAATTTTTTTTTTTTGCCAACCAGTTTTTTGGGAAAAGATTAACTTGTAAATAACCTTTTAACTGTTAGGAAAAACTCTTATAAGTGCAGATCAAATTCTTAACACTTGCAAAGGAATATAGATTTTGCCATGTATAATGGAGAATGTGCATCTGTTCTGCACTTGGGAGTTGCTGTAATCATAAATGAGGTAGTCTTTCCTATTGGAGTACCTTGTTTGTGTAGGTTAGTCTGTTGGGACTCGGGCTGAATCTGCTAACATGGTGTACTTCAGCTTGCAGTTCTACAAGGGAGTGCATTATAGGGTAACAATGCCACTCGTGTATAGTGATGCTCTGCGTGAGCATGGTCACCCTATGCTGGAAGTTGGTTTGCGGACCCCTACAGAATAGGTTACCAGATGCAATTGCTGGCCTAGCAAGCCTCAAGTAACTGGCTGTATTATTGAAGGTACATTGCCAGTTTTGCAATTTTAATGGCGGGCTTAAATACACTGGTACAATTAGTATAGAAAACTGATCGTAAGAAATTAATGTCAAGGCAAGGCACAGAGCACTACAATGGAGATCATATGAATACATAAGATTATATAACGGCTCCCATGAGAAAGGGATCTTTACCAGAAATGAATTTTTCTATACATTTGAATTGCCAAAGAGGTTAAATCTCTAGATATAGCCTACACACAATTCTCTCTGTCTCTGCAGCTGTAAAACTTGCCAAATAAAAATTAGAATATCTTCTAGCTTTTTTAAATTTAGATACTAAAACGTCAGTTCTTGATACAATGTGGTCAGATTACAGAGCCTGATAATGTTTTGTTGATATCAAAGTTCACATTGACCAACATTACATTTTTGGGATATTCCTTTTTTTTAAATCTACTGTCCATATCTTTAGCTAAACTGTTAGCATTTGGTCCCTTTGCAGAAGTGTGACTGGTTTCATAAACATTTTGTGATGTGAAGTGTTGCTGTCAAAGCTTTTTATGTGTTGCTGTAGTTTTTGGCTGGACTCGCTCTTAATTGATGCAGATGTTATTGTTTAATTCATGGAATACTGCATCTTTACCCATTTTATTTTTACTTTGTCATATAATCACAGTGTGCTTCATTATGCAGTCATTTGTGTTTTATTTTGTACATATGTTTTGATATATAGTTTTTCTTATGTGTAATCCTAACAGTATACTAGCATTAGTGCTTTGTAAACATGTGTCCATAGTGCATCTTATGGCATATCGTACAGCCATGTGAGTGTACAATATGTACAAGACTTTGATTAATTTGTAGGGTATTACCACGTACTATTTATAATGGGACATTGTGTTTGTTGCACTCATGCAGTATTCACAGTCCCCTGGAACATAAGGACCCTTGGTGAGAATAGGTTTTTGTAAGGTATCTGTTAGCATGTCATACTTGCGTTAAATTCATTCTCTTGATATAAATGCACTTTAAAACAAAATGCTCTAATCCTTTAGGCCTCATTAAGGTGACATAATTGATTTCTCCCCGTGCACAAATTACTTACCAAGTTCCAATGGACTCAGTCTCCGGTGATTACATTCTGCAATGGGATGTATTCTTCTCCTGCCTGTGCCTTTGCAGTACACCCTAATTGACTTCCATGTGGTTCGTCTCCCAGACAGGAGTCACAGGCAGACAAGCCTCATAGAGGTCAGTTGGGATATACTGCTCATGTGTGGCCAGGAGAAAAACGTCCCACTGCAATATATAATCAATCAATGGGGGCTGTGCTTGGGGAGGTAGTGGGGATGTCGCCATATTGGGTCCTAAAGGATAAGTGCACTTTTTGTTAACTTGCACTTATACTTTAATGCTTATAAAAATATTTATAGATATTAAGCCTAGCTTAAAAAATGGGCAGGCATTTACAGGAAGACAAACAGGCTGCTAATATCACAGGTTCACCACATTCATGAAATGATTCTTGATATTTGCTGTTGAGTAGGACAGATACAGGTTAAACTCGAATAATTAGAATATCGTGCAAAGTTCATTTATTTCACTAATGCAACTTAAAAGGTGAAACTAATATATGAGATAGACTCATTACATGCAAAGCAAGATAATTCAAGCCGTGATTTGTCATAATTGTGATGATTATGGCTTACAGCTCATGAAAACCCCAAGAACCCCAAATCCACAACCTCAAAAAAGTAGATTATTACATGCAATCAATAAAACAGGGATTGTACATAGAACAATATCGGACCTCTGAAAAGTACAAGCATGCATATGTACTCAGTACTTGGTTTGGGCCCCTTTTGCAGCACTTACTGCAATTACTTTTGCATGATATTCTAATTATTCGAGTTTCACCTGTATATGAATGTATTAGAAATATAAAAATATACTCCTGCATGATGGATCCTGCAGCATATTTGTACATTTGATACAGTGCCCATTATCCTTGAACTACTCCACCTTGAGAGACAGAGGGTGCTAAAAATTATGTCTGGGCTTTGTTTTTGGACTGTTGAAAATGCAGGCTTTTTTAATGGTACTTTGGATCTGATAAAACCCCAAGGGATGAAACATACAATATGGTTATACTTAAAATATGAATGATGCTTATTCTGTTCTTTACTCTTAAATTATACAATGTTATGTTGTACTGAAAATTATCATGACTGATTAAGGAAGGCATCCCCAGGAATGCTGAACGTTTCTGAGCCAATCTTTCAGAGTCGGACTTATTTTAATGCATTTTAAAATAAATAATAATGATTATAATAATCTTTTTAATGTTTCAGAATGTTTTTTATTTTAAAAGTTCCCAACATCAGCAGGCTCTGTATTTTAGTAGTTGGTTGGTATGTTAGTACACTGGCCAACTTTAGGTGACTTTCTGATCATCGTTCTCTTTTATATAGTAACTACAGGGAATGAGCAGAATTATTGGTAAACTCCTACTGCTATCTAAGAAACAATAGTAGATATGTTACCACCAATATAGGTAACTGCTTACTGATTCATCAGGTTTTTCACAGTTTGATATAACTGCAACCACCCTCTCATGCTTTGATTTATTGTTTGGTTAGGCTGCATTGTACTCAGAAAGAGAACCTTTATGAACCTATATAACAGACTTGAAACCTATTTTCACAGGTACAGATATAGAATAATGACGATATGGGCACCCGTTAGGGTTTTTAATAGCAGAACATCCAGATTACAGGGACATATCATGATAAAAATGATGCTTTTGGGAGAAGTACAGTTTCATCTAAGACTGCCTGAACCCCCTCCCCATTTGTCTTTATTAAACACTGCTCATGTGTGCCTACCACCACAGATGTGGTGTAAACAGGGCACATAGCATTGTTTTATTTGTGCTCTGTCCACATCATATGTGTGCAGTGGGTTGCAGAGAAACACAGCTCAATGGCCAGGGTGTGAACAAACTCGTAATTTAAAAAATTGTGTAATTTTAAGTTCTGCGTAGTACTGTGCATGCCCTGTAATCTCTGCCCCCAGGAAAATACCCATTATACTCTTATAGGGAGCTGGTGCCAAAGAGCTACATAATTGCCTTTTTATAACATTTATGTTTGAGTGTTTGTTTTTGATTGGGTGGTGGGTGATTAGCTGTGGCTTTGCATTTAAGATAGGGTTTCTTAAATATTCTCATGTGACATATTTTACCAGGATGTGAAATCCCATAACTGGTCACTCTTGAATAGTGATCTGCTTATTCAGCAGTGTGCTGAGCCTACACATGCTTAAGTCTATAACTAGTAGATTTTATAGGTTATTGCAACTTGTCCAGGATTACTTTTTTACATGTGAGGGGGCCGGAAATACTTTGGTAAATGTATTCTGATCTAGCTCTTAGGGTTTAATATGACTGACCTTTGGGTCCTGGTTTCTTCTTTGTGTGCGTTACCATTGACCAACTTCAGTGTACAGCAAATGTCATTGCACTCAAATTCAAGGATTAACTGTGTGCCTCAAACACATACTCCATTTAAGTGTTCATTATTATAATTTGTGTGTTCTTTCATTTATGTATATATTTTTTTTTATTTGCAAAGTTTTAATGTTGGCATGTAATTTTCTCAAGTGGTCTTTTTTTCAAGAAGTCATCCTACTTATGTATACACATTGTATCGCAGCTAACATTCATTTTTGTTGAATTGCATGGCAACGTATATTTAGTGCATGAAGGCATTCAAATGCTAACAAGTGATATTTATTTGAAGATCATACACACATATAGATATATATTTTAAGAGCTCATTGTGTTTTTATTTTATTTTGTATTTTTGTTTTGTTTATTGTGCTGCTTTGTTGAATGTGGATGATTCATGCTTTTCATTCACCATTGCTTCTCTTTCCTCACTGTTTGTGATTTGCCTACCAGGAGGAGCTACTATTCTTACTCCTACTACCTGTAAGTAGAAAACAGCCACCTATTTGTTTGGAATATTAACACTTAACACAAGATGCAGTATCCCTTTAAAAAAAAATACAGCACTTAGATGACAGGGCTGACGAATGTATTACCAATTGTGTCTTGCAAACTTCCCTGAGTTTATAAAGAAAGCTGAAAACCATAATTTGCTAGCTATGCCTTGAGGAAGGGATTGTGTTCCAGTTGGCTCTTGAGGCAAAGTTTGGGCTCACCAAAGGTTAAAAATATGTATTATGGCCTTTTCTGTATGATTATTCCTTTCTTAGACCATCTGATTAGAGAAAGGGACTAGCCACCATTATGATGACAGGATGTAACGCTGCAAAGAGAGGAGAGAGGTTATTTAATATAAAGGTGTAACTGTTGCTTTATTTATTTTTAGAGGGATAACCTATTGAATGTGTCATAAGTCACTAACACTTTTTTGTTGCACGCTGTATGTCTACTGGTCATGGTGTCCCCCTTCTAACAACTTATTTGTAAATTATTGTTTGCAAAGTCTGTCTGCTTAGGTATTAGTTTTAACTAAATATCCAGGATGCTGCACGTGGTGGTGTTTAATTTGGGGCAGTGTTATTTGTAGGTGTTGTTTAGTATTTAGAAACCAGCAAATGCTGTATATATTACAGGTAAGTACTCCTGGGTCAGTTCTGTTTCATAGGAAGAATGGCAGTGCATGTACTACCATTTTTCCATCACCTACTCACTTCTAAACAATGATGCAGGGTGCAATTTTTAGTGTTTCTCTCTGGTAAAATGGATTTTATGTAGTACTCATGCCTAAGCTGCATACATTTTTCCTTTCCAGATCCCCTGAAATTATTGTTGGCACATCTGTTGGTGCATCAGATGTGCAGTGTGGGTAAACTGGGTGAATATTATAGCATTTTAAAGGAGAATTATGGGGTGAGTGAAATACACTCATCCCCATAATTAAAGCTGACGAGTGACACTGAAGCTATCACACGTCGGCTTTATGGATCGGGAAGTGAGCAATAACATACCGCCAATCGCTCAGTTCCCGATTCTCTCCCTGCAGAGAGCTGTGACTGTCAGTCACCACTCCACGCAGAGATTCCCCCATCCCCTCTCCATTCCTCCAGTGCTGACTGGAGGGATGGGGGAGGGAGGCGGCAGGCACAGCTGGCTCTGCCGCTAGGGTGGCAGAGCCAGCTGTCAATCAGGCAGCGGGGTGGATCTCGACAGCGTGGCTCTGTGCTGTCAGCAAATGGCCGACAATAACCTGCAATATTTTGAGTTTTGGGTCACAGGACAACAATAGTGTATGTCCTCCTGTGAGCCTAAAGAGAACTATGGCAAAAAAAAAAGTTGGGTCATAGTTCTTCTAAGTGTTTTAACCCGAAACAAAAATGTAATTCAGCTTGCAAGTCTTTCGATGCTGTGGCTGCATTAGACTTCTATATTTCTTTTTACATCTAGTGATCCTGCCAGTAATACACCTCCTGTCATAGGATTAAAATGCTCAATCACTCTGCTAGATCGAAGTAGAAGCATTGTTGCCACACTAGGACAGGAAGTGTTTTAGAGCTTACTGAACACTCTCCTCCTTTCCTTAAATGTAATTCAGTCATGAACTAAGCAAGCTCATTAAATTGCTTGCGATAGGACAGCAAGTGTACAAGTCACCACTGCATTTATGGCAGGATTAACGGGTATTATTTTACACGTTAAACAGATCTAAATAAAGATTTTAAATGGTTTTTAACAGCCCCAAAAGGAGCCAAAAGATGCAAGGTGTTCATTGTTAGGGTCTGCATACACTTTAATTTGTGCAGATCAGAAATTTAAAGCGCAGAACAAGGGAATTGGTATTGATAAATGTTTGCTCTTTTCTGATATTGGACATTTAAAAGTAATGTGTTATGGGTACAAAGCCATTGGCAACCAGATCTCCCTATCTAAATGCATACTCATGGCCCTGCAGCCTCTGGAAAACTACCCTGGTATGTCTGGTGTGTCAAGCTGGTTAATTTTTAAAAAAATTTGGGATAACTTGATGTGAATAAGATTATATTTCTAAAATTGCTGTTTAGACTTTAAGAATGGCTGTAATGACACATAGAGATAACACACAAGCTGAGATATATCATCTATATTGGCCATAGCACAGCTAATGACTGGTCTGGAACATTCTAAGTTTCTAATCACCCAGTTGTTGCACTAGAGGAAGATAGCAGAAGAAGATATGTTTGCAATATAATATACAGTATTAGTATCCTGTAGCTGTGTTTAATTGCATGTAAACAATCAACTCTCTTATAAGAGCCATTTAATGCCTATGTGAAACAGTATACATCATTCTTGTTAGATGCAGTCTTGAAGGTAATGAAGATATCCAGTTTCAGAATTTAGGAACCTTTTAGGTGTATATCTAGTGTCAGTCTGCGTGCCTTTTATATTTGCAAAAACTTTGTGCTAGTGCTGCATTAAATTACATTGCAAGCTGTCAATGTGGGGAGCAAGCTATTAAATGAGATAGACATTGTGACATGCATCAATTTTTAAAGCAGCCTTTGTACCTAATAAAGGTGCTGATGTGGTGCCACTTGCATATAATCCTGTTGTGCAATATAATGGGGAACATTCAGTGCATTAGCCACAGGGAAAATGAAATTCCTTGGCTGATGTAATATGGAAGGAGGAAAGAAAAAAGATCCTTAACTCAACAGTCATTTGTATTCATTAAAAATATGGCTTAATACCGTTTGCAGCAGTTGACTAACATCCGTGTCATTTATATTTCAACTGGGTAAAAGTAATTCTGGCTACTGAATATAAAAGCCATCTTCATTGTGGTTTTGATATAAGATCACACATTATAAATAGTTTAAATGCATATTTTGTCAATTTTTCAGAAACCTCAATTCTTGCAGTTTAACCTGTGTGGTAAGCTGCTGTTATTTGTAACCCCTAATGTTTAATTTAAGTTATTAATGTATACTATTTTGGCAAAATGTATATTGATTTTACCAATATGTTAAGAGTTTTTGCCCATTTTATCACCTGAAATTTTACCCCTTAATTTAGTGACTTTATGTTTAGCTCTTATGTTAATAAGACATGTTAAACATTTACCAACTGCAACCATTAGGCCGCAAGCTCGATGTAAGAGGACTAACTCGGCTAGCAAGGTAATCACATTGCACACACGGCACAAAACTTCACAAGGGAAGGAACACGCTCATGCTCTCTCCTAGCAAAGTTAAAATACACCGGAAGCCAGGCTATGGGCATTTTTTTGTGCATGGACAAAGCTGCTTAATGTAGGTACGTTGCAGCACTATGTTGGGGTGTAAATGGGCTCCTAAACTTGGACTGCTCTCGCGCATACATACATTAGTTTTTAGCAGACTGTACATACTTTTCAAACTGAGTAGCTTCAGTGTGTGGTGTTTAAAATGTTTATTTGTAATCTAAATAATTACATATACTGTATACAAAACTATAAATCATTAGTTTAAAACTTGTAAACATAGTTTTGTAAAAAAAAAAAAAAGAATGCATTAAACCATTAAACTTTCCATTTATGAAATTAGGAGATTTCTATGATTTGTGTATATTAAAATTCCATGTTAGGTCCACTAAATGTATTTAATTTATTACAGGTATTCATAAAGTGCCAACAATTTTACAATCTAACATCCTATCTCACATGCATGCGTACATACACACTAAGGCCAATTTAGGCAGGAAGGCAGTGTTGGAGGAAACCGACGGTCCCAGAGGAAACCCACACAAACACAAGAAGAACATTCAGATAGTGTCCTGGCTGGAATTCGAACCAGGGAACCCATTGCTGCAAGGCAGAAGTGCTAACACTCTGCTGGCCTATCTTAAACTGAAGCCAAAATAAATGATAAAATCCTTGCTGCAGGGGGTGACGTCCAATATCCTGGGGAATGCCAAGTACACCAAATCTCACAACAGCACAGTTCAGTAGTATCCTCTCGTGAGCTTTGGCCTTGCCATTTCCCTGAATATCACCCAAAAGGATGTTGACACCATCGCCTAAGGTCTGATGCAGGTGAAATAAGGTAGGTATATTAACTTTGTGTTGTGTGCGTGTTTTTGATGACTCAACTGATGGAAGTTTAGGTGTATTTCATTTTGATGGACTACCGTAATTTGCTCACCATTTTTGCTAATTGCTCTTTACTTTTAAAGGTACACTCCAATGAAAATGAAAGAAATATTAGGAGAGTAAAATGCACGCTTCCCAATACTTAGAGCTGGCTTGGGACACTGCAGGTGTCGCATGCTGGCTTTATAGATTGAGAACTGAGCGATCATGAATCACTGATCGATCAGCTCACGGTCTTCTCCCTGCAGAGTGCGGTGACTGCACAGGGTTTCCCCCCCTCACCTCTCTGTTCCTTGAGTGCTTATTTGCGGGACAGACAAGGAAGGGGGTGGGCACAGCTAGATCTGGCTCTAGAAAGGCAGAGCCAGCTGTCAATCGGGTAGTGGGGTGGATCCCGACAATATTGTCGGGATCTTTCCCGGTTGTAGAGCAGCTCTGCACTGTCTAGCCTGCTAGATGCTAACTTTGGGTCACAGGAGTACATTAGTAAATGTACTGCTGTGACCCAAATAAGGACTAAAGCCAAAAAAAAAGGTTTGGCTTTAGTTTTCTTTTAAAGCAACTTTGTTCTTTTACCAAAACAAAATGAGTGGGCCTTTAACCTCAAACATTTTTTTGGTAGTGTTGGAGGTTTTTTTGCTCCCCCCATTTATTCCTGTTGGCCCATGAAAATGTTGGGCTGCCACTTGCTACTAGCAAGTGTCAGTGCTTTTCCTGTTAAAAATACAGCTCATTTATGCCATTTAAAGGCACTAAAAGCTGTTGCTGTTATGTGCAGGCCTTTTCTAGGTGTCTGCACCAACGATACCTTTTTGTTTTTGCTCTTAAAATCATGTTATGCCTTTTAACCCCTTAGTGACACAGCTTCAGAAAATGTTTTCGCTTCTGGGGACCGGAGCATTTTTGCTATGTTTAACATAATTTTGTATCTCCCTCATGCATTGCACCTACACATACTATATATAATTTTTAAAGGACAAAATGGGCTTTAATTTGATGTGACATATGCATATATAAATTCTTTTAAAATATTTTAAATATAAAATACAACAAAAGGAAGAAACCTATTTTCCCCCCAGTTTTGGCAATAATAATGTGTACATAGTGTAGCTAACAGAAAGTAATTCCTAATAAATTCTTGTATTTGTCCTGATTTATAGGGTATATCATATGTCTGGGATTTCAGTTTATTTTGGGAGTTAAAGGTCACAAAATACAATTTTAGTGTGGAGCAATTTTAGAATGTGGTATGTTTGTCTCCTATCTTCAATAGCCTCCTCGACTTTCCTATACATTTTTTATTAAAAAAATGTTTTTTTACTTTTAAAGATTTTAAAAACTTTTTTTTAAACTAGGATTTATTTTTGGTTTACAAGGGCTTTGACACTTAATATCTCTGAGTAGAATACAGCATTCTCCTCAGATACTTTGTAACACACAGCTAGATAGCAGTTTACAATATACAGTGAGCTGCTGCCGCCTCTGTGGCTGTCACGGCTCTGCGATCAGCTCTTGCTGTGATCACAGGATTGTGACCACCTTATCTGCTGTTGGTCTGCCTCAGACCCCAAATGACCCATCAACAGCAGTAACTCAATTTACGGACCAGCGCTCATTGTACCTAATGACGCAATTATCCGTCACTGTTTGTTAATGAACTAAACAATCATGACTGGATAATCCCACTATCGGTCGGGAAGGGGTTAAAATACATGCATAGGGCACAAACTACTACTTGGTCTAGGTTTTTTTTTTTGTTCAGGCATTCATATAGAACATTAGTCCACACCGGTCTCTTTTTTTTGTTTTGTAGGAGACTTGTTTCTAAACACACTGACTATAGCTCTATTCTGCTTCAGAAGGTTTAAAGTAGATCTAAGCCCAGACATTATAATCTCCTTTAAGTTTTTGGTATGGTATTGTTATTTTACATGTTTTCAATCTTTTTAAATTTGTGTCTTTAAATAAAATTATACCTGGCCATCTTGCCATTGCCTTAAAGGCTTCTCCTGTTACAGGGTGAGAACTGTCTTCTAAATGTGGTCCTGCTTTGTCTCTGCGCTCTGGTTGACAGCACGAGTGGCTAAAAGAGGCTGGAGAAAACCAGTAGCACTGAGATTAAAAATAGAAGTAAAAAAAAGAAAATGAATTATATTTAACACAAATATGGCATGTTATCGTTATTTAGCAAACTAAATGCCTTTTTAAATTTGGGGTTTAAACCTTACTACTTGGGGTTTAGACCTTATTTAATGTAACACTGTCAGTACTAAGGAGTAGCCAACAATTCAATTCAAAGCTGTCTTGGAAGGTTGAAGCTGATTGGTGGGGAAGTTGCCGAACATATACTTCAGGAAGTACTCTCATTGGGCATGTGAGAAGCTGGTTTGATTCTGGTTGCAGGGGAGTAATATGAAGGTAGACTGAGTGGACTTCTGACTTTACAGCTGCAGTGTTTGCTAGATTACATTAGCAGGTCATTGGTTGTTGTCATTTGTTGCCTGGAATTCTTTAAGTTAACCTGTAGGGGGAAAAGTTGTAAAGCCCATCCTACCCTGCTTAAAAGATACCCAGGCCTAAAGAAGAACTCCATGCAGATAAGATCCTAACCCTTGCAGTGGGGCTACCCCCACACTGCAGGGGTTAAGTGCTCATCTTGTCTATGTAGCTAAAATAACAGTTATACTTACCCAAGCCACAATACTATCTGGCTCCTAGATTGGTCCCTACACCCTGTTTCCTACACCGCTCCAGTGATGGAATGTCCATCTGTGTCATGTCCTATGCACTGTATAGGACATGATGACTCACTGGACCCTAGATCACTTTAGAAAAGGGGTAGGGAGATGCTTCGAGTAAGCATAACTAAAGTTATTTTAGCTTCCTAGACAAAACAAGCACTTAAAGAGGAACTTTACCCTTATCTTTGAAATGACAAGAAATACACCTTTAGAAATGTTTAGTGACAATCTACAAACAGATACCTATTGATAATCACAGGCTTTTTATTCTTTGCATACATTATTTTCCTTTTCTTCCCCATTCTTCTCTTTGTGGCCATTTTTACTAAGGGAAGATTAATCCATCTCCTTTTACTTCCTGGAACTCTGGTACATGTGACTAGGACATGTGACCATGCATATCACCACAGGGGAGGAAAATGCCTTTCCCTGAGATCTCATGAGATTACAGATGAGATTCCTCAGCAATGCTCTGCTGATGTAACCTTCCCAGGATGCAACGCTTGGGCACGATTACATCACTTTTGCTAAAAGGAACCAGGAAGTGGAAAACAAGAGATTGTAAGTAAAATGAAAATGTTTAATGAATGTAAGATGATTTCATATCAGCATGCAGAGCTGCATGCTGATGTGATTTTGAGTGAAAGGGGTAAAGGTCCGCTTTTAACCCTTGCAGTGCAGGGGTAGCCCAACAGCAAGGGTTAAAATTGTATTTGCCCGGAGTTCTTCTTTAATTTCGCCATACACATACAATATGATTGTACAATAGATTTGACATTTACATAAACTATGTAATATGAGCACCTACCTTAAAGTAACTCTGTCACAAGAACATTTTAGGGGGCTGACATTGTTATTCTCTTTTGTAAATGTTAGTTCCCTGACTGTTTTACTTATGCTTTGACTTCAATGCTTGAGTCACAGACCTGGAACAAGTATAAACATAAGGAATGCAATGCACCTCCATACTTTTCTCATTACAGAGTCGCTTTAACATTCATTTAATTTATATCCAACCAGGTAGACTCTTGCACTATATAGTTGCTTGCAGATCTAAAGGAGAATGTACAATCCGATTATAATGTGTGGTGAGCTTATGTTTCCCCATAGAGCTCCTGAGCGCCACAATACTTTGGGTGCTTATGATGTCCTAGAGATGCCCTTTTCTGTGTAAATAATGCTTTATAACTTTGAACGCTGCAGATTTGCTTTAAATTGTCCAGTTACACTTTTCTATAGTGGTAAGTCTTGGCTGTTTGTTACCATAGTGGCTGCCTTGGCTAATGTCTTTTTTTTTTATCCCTGAATGCATTTACTATATTTTAGAAAGATACGACACACTAAATTATAAATTACTGTAGGTCAGTTTGTGTTGCTTAATGCAGACATTAACAGACTGTCACTTTGTGAAAAATACTGTTGAGTTATCATGCATATTTCATCAATAAACTGAAGCTTGTTTTGATAAAAATTTCCCTTTAATATGTATGTTGTATGTATTTTTCCAGCATTTCACAAGGCAGATATTTCTTATAGCTCTGATATTCACTGTATGGTGGTGCACTGCTGTCTTGATCATGTAGTCTTCTTACTAAAATATTTATATTGTGTTATCTTATGGATATTCTAGGTGTATGAAGGAATCTCAAATATGTTGCTTTGATTGTTACACCAGTAGCTACACCACAACAAGATATTGAATATTGTGAGTTGCTTGTCACTGGGAGTTTGCAGTATGCCACAGATGAATATTGGTGGAGACAATTGATCACAGTGAAAAAGACTACAAAGATATTTACATGATCATATACAGCCTACTATTTGACAACTACTATAGTGTTGTATTCTCAGCTGTCTTAACTATTATTGTCAAAAATTCAGCGAAACATCAAACTACTTGTGACCCTGGTAGATTGTGTTATTGGGTTATTCAGACATATGAATACTGGAAAAAACAACAGTATACTTCTAGATTATACATTAAATAGCATTGACAGGTTGTGCCATCTTAAGATGTTTTTCTCCTATACAAGTGATGTAGTTAAAATATACTTTCCCTTTTAGTAAACTGGCCAAGAAGCGCAAGGATGCCATGGGCAACACACGTCAGGAGATGACTCATATGGTCAATGCAATGGATAGAAGCTATGCTGACCAAAGCACTCTGCATGCTGAAGACCCACTGTCTATTACCTACATGGACTCTCACAACTTCACCCCCAGATGTAAGTACTCCGAAGGCAATAAAAGATCCAAAAACATTTATGTTGAAGGCATAGTACTATCAAAATAAACAACATTCATATTTTGACTGGTCTTAAAATGTATGAATTTATTTGAGGGTACAAATCAATGTAATGCTAAAATTTCAGCACTTAAAAAAAAGAAAAAAATTGTGCTACTTAGAATATCTTGATGGGATGTGACGTGAACATATGTTGATTATTGCTCTCTCGTACATGATCTTTTATTACTGTAAACTACAGAGATAACAAGTGAAAAACTGCCAGGCCCAATTAAGAGTTCAAATATGTATTTTTAAAATTGCTCTTTGGATTAGATGTACAACTTTCAGAAAACATTTCGGCATCAACATTTAAAGAGACAGTCTGTCTAAAAGTGGTATTTGCAGTTATAGGTATAGTCTGAATGGCTAAATTACATACTGGCTTCTAGAGGAGAGCACCAGCATGATTTCTCTGCTGTAGATATTGGCTTTGCTGCCAACCATCTGTGGTTATTCCAACAATTGTTTGCATTCTGCTCAATAAAAACTGCAAGAAAACCAGCAAAGAGAATAGGCATGCATCATAAGTGCTGCAACAGGTGTGCAGACCCAAATAGAAATATCACATTACTGGATTTTCCAGCATTCTATTAAAAACCAATGTATCTGTCTTTGGTGAACTTGATTTTGGGTTTATTCTCTTCTAGTTATGAATTGGTAATACTACTAGATCTATCAGACCACCCGTATTTAAGCTGGACTCTAGGTAAATAGCTAAATGCACAGCTAAAATTTCATATAGTTGAACTTTCCTATCCAGCAAAGGATTTGTGAATTCCACTTATAAGGGGAATACTATAGATTGTTACTTGAAGGACAGCTCTGAATGTGCTGGGGCTTTTGATTGCAAATATAAGATGGTCACATCCAGTAACAGTCTCACACCTTTTTGGATATCTTCACAGAGGATACATTTTCAGATAAATAAAATACATTAAATGTACATAAAACATAATGGAAGATTTTCATTGGAATAAATAGTCTGGTGACAGGGTCTCTTTAATTACACAGCTGCATTAAAGAGACTCTTAAATTGGATTAATGGAGCAATGTGTCCATACAGTGCTGTCTGCTCCCAGGCAGCTACATCTTGTTTCCAGTGGCAGTGGACTTTGCATCTTTGCAGCGCATACTAATGGTTCTTAGTGATCCCAGACATATGCATTTATCAGGGTGACAGGAGCATTCTCACAGTGGCTCTCTCTCAAGTGTAATCCTGTTATGCGTTCACTGAAGGTTGCATGCCAGCATAAGCTTATATCCAAGTGCCTGCCAAGTACAGCCAGAGTGCCAAAACGCTCACAATGACTGTGCTGCAATATAAACTCTTGTAAGAATTCACTTGCAGCTGCTGCCTGAGGTACTAACACACAGGGCTGGAAGGGAGGTAGATGGGTTCTCGGACCGATAAAAAGCCTTTAACACACCCAGAAATATCAGAGGCAACCCATATAGTGGTGGGGTTTACACAATTAGGGAGCACTAAACAATGTGTAGGAAAGCCTGGATAAAATCCAATGTCTCTTAAAATATTTTTTTATATTCCAGAAGTTTAGCTTCGAGACATTTCTTCCTCTTAATAATGTTATATTTCCTTTCGGTTTATAGGATAGAGGTCAGTAGAAATGTTATTTTCTGTAATACAGAGGTTTATAGTGTTTTACTTGCAGTTCTGCTGGTGCTGAATATTTATTGCTAGTACACAATATTCATATAGTTTTAAAAATGGTTTTTGTCACTTTAAAATCCACTGTATCTGCTTCTTTTCTCCGCTCTTTAGTTGCTTCCTCCATGCATCTCTTGCAGCAATGCTTTTAATGGCTGTTTGAATGATCATTGATATGCCAGAGCTATTCATTTGTTACATCAGCTTTTTAAATTGGCCCATCCATCCACAATTAATGCATGTCATTTAAAGATCAACACATGCATTCGTATTGTGTTTTTCCTACAAATTAACAGCATTAGGGCAAGCTCTATTGTATTGTAAGTGACGGGTGATTATCTACAGACTTGCTGAAATGTAAGCAAGGGCCCTCACTCCTTTACTGTAAAGTGCAAAAGCTTTCAGATCTTTGAGCTTGTAGATCTAAGGCCAATTTGGAGCTCTCCTGTAGGTCTGTAATGTACTTACAAAGTCATTGTTGGCCTGCTGGAAGAATTCACCTTTTTAATAGCCGGTGATGGCTTGTGCTAATTTCTTTGTCTGTCTGTGTTTCCAACTGCCCATACTGGAGGTAATGTGAATTTTCATGAGCTTTGTCTTCCTGCAGTGCCCAATGATCCACTTGTGCCGACCGCTGTGTTAGGTGAGGACCTAGTCTACCATCACCAGTTCATGCATGATTGATTTTGTTGCATGTGACTCACTGTTAAGAGCAGTCTTTTAGTGAATATTAGTTAGCAGGAACATGTCTTGTGGAAATATTCATCCACTTTCCAGCTGCTCGTGACTGTACATTCTGCCAGTGTAGCTCATATGTTCCAAACCTTGACCAGCTTATACATCTACAGCAGTCGTTCTCAAGATTTTTTTGCATGAAAAAACCTTAAAATGACTCTCAGGTCCCAGAGAACCCCTGCTAATTAATGTATTTACAGCTCATAGGACATTAGCTTAAATAAAAAGTGGAATAAGGATGACCAGACTGCTGGGAATTAACAACTTTATTTTGTTACTTTTAGCTGTAATGTATGTATGTTAAGAAGCATCTTCACGTTCTAAATTCATAAAGTGGGCATTCCGATTTTTTTTTGTTCAAAGAATTTCTCTTTTGATAGTCATCAGATGGCTTCAAAAAACATTTCTGTGATCCTTAACATCAACTCGTAAACCTGGTCAAATTATGTTTCAATAAACTCCATAATAAATAACATGGTATAACCAGTTAACTACCAGTTAACTAACAGTTTTTAAAACATGCCCATAGCAGCAGTAACATAGTGAGCTGACATGGAAGGCTGGTTGTGAGGATCCTGCACAATTAATTCCAAAGAAGGTACAGTTTAAATATAACATATCATTTAAAGTGGTTGGTATAAGATAGTATCTGTTGTGTCTGAGAATTGTGGTTTTGTAGTCGGTAGATTATTTCAGGTTCCATTTTCTATTTCACGCCTCTGATGCACCTTTTTTCCAATTAACTTTTCTATGGTAAAAGCTTAGCTACAAATAAGCATGCAATATGAAGCTATTTTGAGGAATTTATTTTCATCTTGATAAAACAAAGAGAAATGTGGGCTCACGTAAAATGAGTGCCAGCTGGTAACCTGGACACGTAAACACAAAAATAATATTGAGCGTTCAAAAAGCATTTAATTTCAGTGGACAGGAATAGATAATATGATCCTGTCATTTTCACTTCAGTATTCATGCTGAAGTATGAAATCATTTATTTTATTATAAAAGTGCTTTATTTATGTGTTTTTAACGTCTATCCTCTAATTTGAATAATATTAAAAAATGTTTTCCTTTTGAAATGTATCTGTATTTTTCCTATGCTAGGGAACAATAAGCTGGCTGTATTCACATTGCCTGTGCTCCCATTTTACCAAAATCTGACACCACAAGGCCAGAGTTTCTTTTCTATGTTTCTCTGGCCCATGTGAAAACATGCAAGCCTTGGAGTTGGCTGCTCAAGCATCAACTACTGCATTTTGAAAGGGCCAGAGTGAGTGTCGTGCCAAATCTGCTCAGGTGGATTGGGGTGGCAGGGAAGCACAGGGGAGCATGTATAGCTTAAAACAGCCCCTATAAAGTTAATGTATTACCCTGCCCAATAAAACATTAATATTGTGCTGTGCTCGTACCCCTAAGTATTTAATAAACTTAATAAACTTCCTTGATTAATGTGCAACACTCCTAAATCCTGCTCATCTGTAAAATAAGATAAATATATTTATATAGATATATATAGATATTTTAACACTCCTAAATCCTGCTCATTTTCAAAATATGATAAATATATATATATAGATATATATAGATATATATAGATCTATATAGATATAGATCTTTATTTATATACATAGATATATTTTATTTTTCAAAATCCACGTAATTATTAGTGCAACATTGACATAAAAAAGAGTCCACTAGAATAAATAGACTATAAGTGCAGTGATATAAAATTATGTGCCCCAATCCAAAATGTGTATTCAGCAAAGACACAATCCCCTGTGCCATTCACTCCCAATAGAATAACTCTCACCCCAAGAATCAATCTTGGGTATAAAGGTCTGATAAACGCTTATTCCCTCTTTCATTCTCTGTTGGGGTGATACCCAATGCTGGCAATAAACAAATCCTCCTCCACTCTGCAGCTTATGTGTATAGCTATCACCAATAGTGACTCACTTGCTGCACTTCCACTCGGTTTAACAATTATAGCAGGCGGAAACAAAAACGAAAACTCCATAGTGTACTCCATAAACCACATTCGAATTTTAATAGGATAAAAATTTACTCCCAAAAAGAGAATGATGAAAACGCATAAAAGTCAGATCAAATCTCCTGGTACAGATGGCAGCGCTGCCATTTTCAGTATACTCCAAAGCTCCTCCCTGTGTATGTTACATCTTAGTTACACGTGACTTCATCAGGGTGCTGCATGATATAATACGAGTGTTGCATAATTATCAAGGAAGTTTAATAAGTGCTTAGGCACAATATTAATGTTTTATTGTTCATATTGTGGATATTATCCCTGGAATTAGTGCTTGCTGCTTAGGAGCTGTGCGCAAAGTTTTTTTTAAATTTGTTGTTACCCTGTCCAACATGAGCAAAGTACAGTTTCAATTTAAATGTTAAAAAGTATCTAAATTCAAATAGATGATTAAACATTTTAGGTATAGTAAGTATACATATGTGTACAGATTAGTTCTGCTAACTATTTAATTTCAGTTTGATGCAAATAAAAATTTACCAACTTTTTTAGATGTAACATTTTATAATTGTTGCATAATAATTTTTGTTTATTTCTGAATTCAGATATGATGTAGCGTTGAGTGTCGTGTACACTTTATAGATCATTTCCTACTTTGCACATTGCTTTTTGGTTTACTAGTGGAAGTAGTCCTCGCAATTATCCACGTATTTTTTTTTTCATTGTCTGCCTGGCTGTATTGTTCATCCATTTCACCCATCCCCGCTATTCATAAGCATACCACCATTTTGTATATCTACCAAAAAGTAGTCTTAATTTCCTGTCAAGGTTTCATACAGAAACATGTTTGTGTTTTTCTTTTTCTGCTGCTCTGGTACAGTGCCAATCACTGGTAAGTAGTGTACTATTATATCATATTAATACTTTTATCAGAGTTTCCTGTTGGTGAAATCAGTTCTTTAGATGACATTCCCAATAATTAGGAAGGTAGGCTTAACAATCTTGGTGATACTCATTGAATTCCAGACAGCTGCCAGCCTGCCACCCCCAGCTGCTGCTGCCAGCTGCCTATCCTCTGTACCTCACACACAATGAGGCATGCAACATAGGTCTGGCTTATTTTAAGCTATTGCAACAGTGAAATAAAGAAATGTCATACACGTTCAACAGAACATTTACTCTTGAGCTTCCTTAAAAAGGCCTGCTTAATTACATTAGAATAAATATTACATTCTGGTCTGCTCAGTATATTTTGTTAAATATGAAGTGAAAAAAGGTTCCCACTAATCATGTTAAATAAGTAACAACATTGTCTTCACAAATTGTGGTTTGAAACAGTAAACCATTATGCTTGTGATGTTTGCACTGATTTAAGTATGATCTACTATTCAGAATCTCTACCTGCAAACAGATTGCCTTCAACAAACTTGGTTATTTTCATTGAACTGAGAAAAAATCCCAGGGGTGTTAAAGTGGATTATAGGGCAATTTTGTATTTATTTTTGAGTCCTAGCACAGAAACGTCAAGGAAAGACCATGACTATCCTACAAAGTAATTAAGAAGCTCAATAAAGGTGACAGTATTTTGTTACAATGCATTTTTTTTGCATTAAGTTACAGTAATAAACACCAATGTACAACAAAATAAGCTGTAGATTTTAGGAGTTGCAACCTAAACCTGAAAATTAAACTTGAGATAAAGCTAAATACATCCTGGAAACTAGAGAAGACTACTCTAGGATCCAGCACTTGCTCCATTAACATCTTATGCGTGCCCAACTTTTCCTATAATGGTAACGCTTTGTGATCCTGGTTTTAATTTAATAGCTGTGCTGTTAAACTTGGTTATTTTTATTTTCCTAAAGATACTGTTAACCTTGAATGTGCAGGTTTTTCAGTAAAAGGTTATCATTTGTAAACTTTGTGACTTTTGTCTAATTTATTTATAAAAGAAATAGAAATATACTTATTTATATGCTACTGTTACTTTTCGTAGGGAAATTATTATGTACATATAGCAAAAAATGTGCTATCATTAACCCAGATGTATTTTGGCATGCGAGTGCTGTAAGAAAATAAAAAAAAAGTCAGTATGGGCGGTGTTATAGGTGAGAAATGAGATAATAAAACAATAAAGCACAATCACTGTGAGGCATTAGTAAAAAAGAAGCATGCCCTTTTATATGTGGTAAGCAAGTATGGATATCCCATAAATATGATAAAACACATTGATCACATTTTCTTTTAACATTAAATCCCAAATCTACCCAATATATTTAAAGGAGAACTATGGGGTAAGTTTTTTTTTCCCCATAGTTCTCCTAAGGGTCACGGGAGGACACAAACTAGCTTCCTTCCGTGACCCAAAGCTCAGTATACCACGAGCTACAGCTCCCAGTATACTGAGACCGCCACAGCCGGGACGGATCCCGACATTACTTTCGAGATCCACCAAGCTGCGTGATTTGACAGCTGGCTCTGCCTATCTAGAGGCAGAGCCAGCTGTACCCGCCCCCTATTCCGTCCGTTCCGCTAGTCAGCGCTGAAGGAACAGGGAGGGGGGAATCGCAGCTCTCTGCAGGGACATGATCGAGAAGTGAGCGAGCGGCGGTATGTGTTCGCTCACTTCCCGATCTATTGAGCCGACATGTGATAGTTTCATTGTCACACGTCGGCTCAAACTATGAGGTTGAGTGAAAATCACTCGCCTCATAGTTCTCCTTTTAATACTGTGCATATACAATAATATAAATGTGCTGTTTAGGTTTATTTAGTTGCTACCTGCAATGTTTAAAATCCTCAACTGGCAGCACTTTCAAGAGTTGGACTGCTGCTCCCACACACAGTATCCCAGGTTTCAAGCGGTTAGAAATTCATACCTGCTGCTCCCACACTGCCCCAGTCAAAAGCACCGTTGATTATAGCAGTGTTAAGGGGAGCCTCTGCTTTTAGCGGTCTGACTCTCCAACATGTCTTCACCACGTTATTTTAATTCTTGCTGTAGCACTTCACAATTAATTACATACATAAGTTAAACATGATTGCATTAATTGCAACATTTTATCTATGTTTCTTTATTTCTTTGTAGATGAAAACCACACAGCAACAGCTGAATCCAGCCGTCTTCTAGATGTGCCTCGCTACCTGTGTGAGGGAACAGAATCTCCGTACCAAACTGGCCAGCTTCATCCAGCCATAAGAGTTGCTGACTTATTACAACATATAAATCTTATGAAGACATCTGACAGCTATGGATTCAAAGAGGAGTATGAGGTAAATGCTGCAATCTAAAAAACAAAACAAAAGTTTAGCTATCAAGGAATAGCAAGATAGTGTGCCACAAATATATGTTCATCTTCTACTCTTTTTACTTGTTGGCCTAAAGGAAGCTTTTTGCATCTCTCTTACTAAAGACTCGTGTTTATGGGGGTGAATTGTATATTTTAATATTACAGAGTTTCTTTGAGGGTCAATCTGCTTCATGGGACGTTGCTAAGAAAGACCAAAACCGAACAAAGAACCGATATGGAAACATCATTGCCTGTAAGTTTATATTTGTGTTCATCGTTGAAATGAAATCTGTGCTTCTGAGGGTCCCTCTGTCTTCTATTAGTTATGAGGTTCTCCAAGTCACGCCCATTTACATCAGTTACGACTTCTCCAAATGAAACCCACTTACATTGGTTATCTCCTTTTCCTTTTATTCATATCTGATTTCTAAGAATGTATAAGGAAACTGCACATAAAGCAAACTGTGAGTTCAGCTAGGGAGTTTTCATACTTTTTGATGGCAGCATTTTTTAATTGAAAAGATTTTGAAGAAGATATTACTTTCTTGTTTTATGAACCTTTCAGATTTGATTGTACACATTGCTGGCCATATTTGTTGAAGCAGATCTCCAACTTAAAAAAAGAAGTCCCATCCCACATCACTTTTCAGAACCTTTTTTGTTGTTGTTTGCATTACATGACATTCAGAGCTCAAAGGAAGTGGGCTGAATGAGTCTGTCCATCATTCAACCCAGAAGAGGACAGATGCTGGACATCTGTAGTGGTGCGTCTTCAGGGCACAGAACTATAGAATATATGAGTATTGCAGCAAGAGCTTCTTTTGTTACTTTTTGAAAATGCTGGGCTACTTTTTTTTGTTTCTTCCATACGGTTACATGGTTGATGTTGTAGTCCTCTTATGAGAGTAACATAGGTTTCTCAAAGCAAAGAAAATGCTTGAATTTTCTACAGTGCAGCTGCAATCGGGTTGCTAGGGTAGCTTGAATGCTTTTCATTTTCCAGTTAGTGTGGATTTTAGTGTGCAAATTGTCAGAACAGGGTAACATACTATTACGAGCTGTTCCATAAAGCAAAGGGCATTCTTATACAGTCCTTGTTTTCTTCTCCTGACCAGATGACCACTCAAGAGTCATCCTTCAGCCAGTGGAAGATGACCCTTCGTCTGACTACATAAATGCAAATTACATTGATGTAAGTGAGCTGCACAGCCCCTGCTATTTCCCTGCATGCCTTTAGCTCTCAGCCTGTTGTATATGTGTGTTTATTTTTTTCCCCGCATGTCATGCCTATGAAGTTGACTGCAAGTGTTTAAAAGAAGAGAAACTGTACACTTTCCTTGTTCTAAGTCTCAGTAATCACTGACATTGTTGTGCTTTCTTTCACACCTGACTTTGGTTTGGCCTGTAGATTTGGCTGTACAGGGATGTAAGTACCACTATATGTAAATAACAGAACCCTACAGTAAACATTTAATATAGACATTGTTCCCAGTTACTTTGTAGTTCCTACTAATGCTTATTTTCCTAACATCTGTGCATGCTCCACCTGATTAATTTTGTTACATTTTTTTCTTTCCATTTTGTCATGTTCCTTTTTTTTTGAGTAGTTCTGTAGCCAGAATACACTAACCTGGCACTAGTCCATTTTTTTTTGTTTTGTTTTAAAAATCCCTGAAATATTTTCTATTTTTCCCAATGGTAAACATCCCATGCTCACATTTATTTCTGATATTGGTTGTCTGATTGCATCATACTTTTTTTGCTAAAAATTATGTTGTAGTGTTTTTAGAATGTTTTTAGATTGTTCAAATGTGTTACTGTAAATTTAAAGGCGATGGTTGCAATTAAATAAAAGCAAGTAAAATAACTGACATTTACTGTCCCATGTTGAAAGATTACATTAGTTTAGTACTATGTACGCCTAAACTGACCATGTAACATAACACCAGTGTAATTTCAGTAGAATAGCCACACCTGCTGGGAAAGCTTTAAAGTGTATCAAACTGGCATATACAGTTTGGTTATGATGATAACCTAGGGAAATCAATGTCTGCCATTGTATTCTTCTGAAAATGTTGGCAGTGATGTAAGACACCTTAAACCTAATGTAATTTATTATTTGCAGGGGAAAGGGAACGTGTCATATTTTTGTTTACTTTTTTTTGCTACCATTTTTTTCAGTTTGGTTGCTTTTTTACCAGTTTAACTTATTTTCAACATCACAAGTTCCAATTAAAATGTCTAAAAATAGGGACAATTGAGATTTATTGTTTGCCAATTTTTATTAAAAGGCTGTTACTGCTCTTGGAAACTCTAGCTCTCTGCCCCAAACAGTCATCTGTATAACACTAATCAGCATGTTATAGATGTCAAAGCACAGACAAGGCTCCTGTTCTACTGGTTCCTAGTGATTTTAAATCTGAGCTGGAAGAAAATTTTGTTTAGATTATGAGATAAGCTTATTTGCATAGTAGCCCATTTTCAATTTTCAGAGACTAGATAGGTGATGAGATTGGATGATTTAATTATGATTATTGCCTGGTCATATTGAGGTATTGGAACATCTCTGCTGGTGGAAACGATAGAAAAATATTGTAGAGCGAAAAACTTTTTTTTTTTAATTACAGCTTACTGAAGTTTCTTTTCAAATTCATCTCCTATGCTTTTATTATAGCTATATGACTTTAATGGGCTTGATACTAGGAAGCTTAATTCATAGGGCAGTGCAAAAAGCAACGTCCAGACAGATCAGATTATTTCTGATTAGTTATCTGCATTACTGCATTTGCCTTTTTGTTTTTTATCAATTGCTTATTTCACTGCTTTATTGATTAAGAGCATATATGTATTTTCCAGGGCTTTCAGATGTTTAGGTACAATCTACAGGCTATGTATTCGATAAACTTTCACTATATACATTATATATATATATTATATATATATATATATACACACACACACTCGCCGGCCACTTAAATAGGTACACCTTGCTATTACGGAGTTGGACCCCCTTTTGCCTTCAAAAATGCCTTCATTCTTCGTGGCATGGATTCAAAAATGTGTTGGAAACATTCCTCAGAGATTTTGGTCCATATTGACATGATAGCATCACGTAGTTGCTGCAGATTTGTTGGCTGCACATCCATGTTGCGAATCTCCCATTCCACCACTACTGGATTGCAATCTGGTGATGTGGAGGTCATTGAAGTACAGTGAACTCATTGTCATGTTCAAGAAACCAGTTTGAGATGATGTGAGCTTTGTGACCTAGTGCATTATCCTGCTGGAAGTAGCCATCAGAAGAGAATGTAGTCATAAAGGGATGGACATGGTCGGTAACAATACTCAGGTAGGCCGTGGCATTAAATGATGCTCAAGTTGTACTAAGAGTCCCAAAGTGTTCCAAGAATATATCCCCCACATCATTACACCACCACCACCACCAGCCTGAACCGTTGATACAGGCAGGATGGAACCATGCTTTCTTGTTGTTTACTCCAAATTCTGTCCCTAGCATCTGAATGTTGCAGCTGAAATAGAGAACCATCAGACCAGGCAATGTTTTTCCAATCTTCTACTGTATTGTCCAATTTTGGTGAGCCTGTGCGAATTGCAGCCTCCATTTCCTGTTCTTAGCTGACAGGAGTGGCACCTGGTGTGGTCTTCTGCTGCTGTAGCCCATCTGCTTCCATGTTTAACGTGTTGTGCGTATAGAGATGGTATTCTGCATACCTTGGTTGTAGCGAATGGTAATTTGAGTTACTGTTGCCTTTCTAGCATCGAGAACCAGTCTGCCCATTCTCCTCTGACATCAGCAAGGCATTTTCATTCACACAACGGCCGCTCACTGGATATTTTCTCTTTTTCGGACTATTCTCTGTAAACCCGAGAGATGGTTGTGTGTGAAAATCCCAGTAGATCAGCAGTTTTTGAAATTCTCACACCAGCCCGTATGGCACCAGCAACCATGCCACATTCAAAGTCACTTAAATCACCTTTCTTCCCCATTCTGATGCTCCGTTTGTACTTCAGCAAGTTGTGTTCACCCAGGTCTAGATTCCTGAATGCATTGAGTTCCTGCCATGTGATTGGCTGATTAGCAATTTGTGTTACCAAGCAATTAAACAGGTGTACCTAATAAAGTGGCTGTTGAGTGTGTGTATGTATGTGTATATATATATATATATATATATAAATATATATATATATATATATATAGTATATAATATGTGTGTGTGTGTGTCACATTTGTTTGACCTTGGACTTATTTTAATGCTTATACAACAATAAGGGGTCTATTTAGAAATGATATGACAACATTTACCGGGAATTAAGAGTTTTCTTTTATTACTTTAAGGTGACCCTAAACTCAGGAGTTCAAACATAAAAAGGTTCTGTGATGGACTACAGTCTCAACGCAAATTAGTAAGCTAAATGTGAAATTGTAGCCCATCATGGGAGCGTGCTTGGAACAGTGGCACACACAGGGACCATGGGGAACAAAAGTAGCCACCCTCCAGAAGGAAGGACAGTGTCAGCACCAAGTAAGAGATAATTTTAGGATCTACAGCAGAGTGATACACAAATAAGATACTTTTTTGTCAATAGGTACTTGAATGCATTTAGAAGTTTTAACTCCTGAGTTTAGTGTCACTTTAATAGCAACAAGAATTTTTTTTTTTAACCATAACAGTCTGGTGTTCATATTTATAGTTTCCTGCCTTCTGCAGTCATAGTTTGCCCTGCATTTCTGTCCCTTAGAGATATTTTGATTAAGTTGAATAAAACCTAATTTTATTCAACTTAAGAAAGCCAGTAGATACTTGGCAAAATGTTATTAGAATAATGTTTTGTAAAAGTAAAAAACAATCATAAATTTGCTTAAACAGTTTATGTTGCCTTTGTCTGAGTACTAAACCATAGTAGTTTGAATGAATACATTCTTTATGTACAGGAAATGTTGTGAATATACAGATTAGTAAAAATGGCACTAAAGAGAGGCTTTCAGTTCTAGAATCTGTGTTTCTCCATTGTGCTCCTACTAGTGATGTCTTTTTTGAAGGGGCACCAATGCTCATGAGGTTTATTTATTAGAGCTATTTATATAGCGCTGACAATTTACGCAGCGCTTTTACATAGTTGCACATTCACATCAGTCCCTACCCCCAAAGAGCTTACAATCTAAGGTGTTTGACTTAAGACCCACATCCTATCACCCACAAACAAGTATTTTACCCAGAATTTAACTGGGCCTTCAAAGGAAATATGTGCCAAGACTAATATGTGGTTTACCAATACAAGTTATGGTGGATTAAAGTAGTTTAAAATAATGCAGTGATAACATTAAAATAACTTTAGAATTTTAAATTGTATTATATTTGATTTTTTATCACTGTACACAGTGAATACATACAGAGACTATAACAGTCACATTAAATCCCACAAATATACATAAAACACTAGGAATAAGAACCTAAAGATTATCATTTAAAATACATAAGAGGGTTTAAATGTTTCTAAAAGAGCAATTGTACAGCATTGGTGTCCCTTTTTGTTTGATGTGTATTAGAAAACCACCAAAAGTATCCAACCATAAACAGCATGCAGGTGTTCGTGAGCTTGCTGCTGAAGTTAGTTTAGCGCTTATTGGAAAGATGTTTGAATTTTTGTGGCTGCTTTTAACATTTTGGCCCAAAGTGTTTGCTGACTGACACAATTACTTTAACATCTCCCTGCATGCAGCGCATTGCTTTTATTTCTGCAAATTGAATTTTATTATCTGCAATTGAGAGCCTCTCATTTACATTCAGTTAGATCCTTTTCTTCCAGTGAGAGGCTAGATAAAATGTTTGCAAGGATGTATTTTCTATATGCATAATCAAAGGAGTAGTAGAATAATAGTGGAAACACTATTGCTTTTGAATTTAATTTTTAAAAATATTTTTTAGTATATGCTAACATCTGAAAACACTGCTTTTGGTTTAGCAGTACAAATGCTGCCTTGAAATTTCTAGATGTGTTTTTTATTTTGGACAGTTAAATTCTTTAAGTCTAAAGGTGCCCATACACCTTGCGATTATCGTTCGATAATCACGGGAAATCCCGCGATCGTACGATAATCGCAAGGTGTATGGAAGACGTTCGACCGTTTTAACTGTACGGTCACACATCTTTTGTCGAACCAGCATGCTAGAAAACCCGCCGAGAATCGTACGATTGTCGGCGGGTTTCTAGCCTGCTCGTTCGACAACTGCGGAACGGGCCGGTGTGCGCACGCGGCCCGTTCAACATTGCGGTCATCGGAAGCCCGCCCCTTGGCGGGGCAGGCTTTCGATGAGCGCAAGTATGATCTGCCTGTCCAAGATGGGCAGATCGTACAAGCTTTTAATTAGCTTACGACCATCGCAAAACAAAAGTCTTGCCATGGTTGTAAGGTGTATGGGCACCTTAACAGTTTACTTCAATTATACATTCTATAATGATAATCATCACTCACACCTCCTCTGTGATTTCTATTTTCTAAAAAATGTTGTGAATGGCTAGACAGTTTCATTAGTTCATATCATTTTAATGCACCCTGTTGATTGCTGAGAATTAATTTTTTGCCTGTTGTTTCAGGGATATCAGAGGCCAAGCCATTACATTGCCACCCAAGGTAAAAGAATCTGCTCTGCTCACTGATTTAATTGCTTTCATTTAAGCTTCCTGGCAACATTCAATTTTCATTCGGAAACCTATACTGAAACAAAGACTATTTTCTGTTGCACAGAGATGCCTAAGTTAGATGCGAACATTCATTCTGTTTTAACACTTGTTTTTAAAGTTTTAATTTAAGTCAAGCTTGAACGGTCGCAAACTTAAAATGTACCGTACTTTAACAATGTTTACAATTATTTATGAGAACATTTTTGAAACTTATATGAACTGGAATATACACAATAAAATGTTATAATGGAAGAAATGATCTTCCTATACACAGCTGATTTCCTATAGCAATAGAGGAAGATTATTCATCTTTCTTCAAGTACTATATACAGTAATAGTATAAGTTTGAAAACAAACACGTATTTTTTACCTGCTCCTGCATGCTTACATATACCTCCTCTCCCCCCTCTATAAAAACCCTATATGTCTCTTC